TATAATGTTTGGTGAAGGTACAGTATATTGTATAAGTTCTGGTGGAGATACAGAATATTGTATAAGATCTGGTGGAGGTACAGTATATTGTATTAGGTCTGGTGGAGGTAAAGTATATTTTATAAGATCTGGTGGAGGTACCGTATATTGTAAAAGGTCTGGTGGAGGTACAGTATATTGTATAAGGTCTGATTGAGGTACAGAATATTGTGTAAGGTCTGGTGGAGGTACAGTATATTGTTTAAGGTCTGGTGGAGGTACAGTATATTGTATAAGGGCTGGTGGAGGTACAGTATATTGTATGAGGTCTGGTGGAGGTACAGTATATTGTTTACAGTATGGTGGAGGTACAGTATATTGTATGAGGTCTGATAGAGATACAGAATAGTGTATAAGGTCTGGTGGAGGTACAGTATATTGTTCATAAAGGCCTGGCGAAGTCTTTATATTTGTTTGGTCTTAGTTGTGGGTGACAGCTTGCTGCACAGCCTTCACTGTCACAATAAATTCTATACATCATGTTTACTCAAAAGGCTAAACTTTCAATCAATCTCACAATGTGTATCTGTCTGATAGCTATATAAATACAGCTTGTTTAAAATCTTCAGAGAAAGCTTAAATACTCAACTCTTTATTTTGGGACAAACTGAAAGAGTGTTATAAGCAGGGAGAAGGGAAATGACTGGGGACGGGATATAGACAATGAGAGGGGGTATAAACAGGGAGGATATAGACAGGAAAAGGTATATGGACAGGAAAAGATGATATATACAGGGAGAGGGGATATAGACAGTGAGAGGGGATATGGGCAGGAAGGATAAAGACAGGGAAAGGGGATATCGACAGAGAGAGAGATGGGGAATAGACAGGGGGAGGGATATAGACAGGGAGATTGGATATAGACAGAGGTAGGGATATAGACAGGGAGAGGGGATATAGACAGGGAGGATATAGACAGAGAGAGGGGATATAGACATGAATAGGGATATAGATGGGGAAGGGATAAAGACAGGGAGAAGGGATATAGACAGTGAGAGCGGATAAAGACAGTGAGAGGGGATATAGACAGTGAGAGGGGATATAGACAGTGAGAGGGGATATAGACAGTGAGAGGGATATGGACAGGGATATAGATAGGAAGAGGGGATATAGACATGGAGAGGGATATATATAGGGGAGGGATATAGACAGGGAGAGGGGATATAGACACTGAGAAGGATATAGACAGGGAGAGGGATATAGACAGGGAGAGGGAATATAGACAGTGAGGGTGATATAGACAGTGACATCGATATATACAGGGAGGGGGGGATATTGACAGTGATGGGGGATATAGAAAGTGGGATGGGATATAGATAATGGCAGGAATATAGACAGGGAGAGAGTTATAGATGGGGTAGGGTTATAGAGAGTGAGAGGGGATATAGAGAGTGAAAGGGGATATAGATAGTGAAAGGGGATATAAAGAGTGAGAGGGGGATATAGATAGGGGAGGGATGTAGACAGGGAGAGGGGATATAGACAGTGAGAGGGGGATATAGATAGGGGAGGGATGTAGACTGGGAGAGGGGATATAGACAGAGAGAGGGATATAGATGAAGTATGGATATAGAGAGAAGAGGGGATAAAGACAGGGAGACTGTTTTAGACAGTGAGAGGGGTTTAGACAGTGAGAGGGAATATAGACAGTGAGAGGGATATAGACAGGGAGAGGGATATAGACAGGGAGAGGGTTATAGACAGTGAGAGGGGATATAGACAGTGAGAGGGATATAGACAGGGAGAGGGATATAGACAGGGAGAGGGATATAGACAGGGAGAGGGGATATAGACAGGGAGAGGGAATATAGACAGTGAGGGGGATATATACAGTGACATCGATATATACAGGGAGGGGGGGATATTGACAGTGATGGGGGATATAGAAAGTGGGATGAGATATAGATAATGGCAGGGATATAGACAGGGAGAGAGTTATAGATGGGGTAGGGATATAGAGAGTGAGAGGGGATATAGAGAGTGAAAGGGGATATAGAGAGTAAAAGGGGATATAAAGAGTGAGAGGGGGATATAGATAGGGGAGGGATGTAGACAGGGAGAGGGGATATAGACAGTGAGAGGGGGATATAGACTGGGAGAGGGGATATATACAGGGAGGGGGATATAGACAGAGAGAGGGATATAGACAGGGAGAGGGATATAGACAGAGAGAGAGGGATATAGACAGGGGGAGGGAATACAAACAGAGACAGGGATATAGATGAAGTAGTGATATAAAGAGTAAGAAGGGATATAGACAGTGAGAGGGGATATAGACAGGGAGAGGGGATATAGAAATGGGGAGGGGATACAGATAGGGGAGGGATAAAGACAGGGAAAGGGTTATAGATTGGGTATGGATATAGAGAGTGAGAGGGGATATAGAGAGTAAAAGGGGATATAAAGAGTGAGAGGGGGATATAGATAGGGGGAGGGATGTTGACATGGAGAGGGGATATAGACAGGGAGAGGGTTATAGATGAAGCAGGGATATAGAGAGTGAGAGGGGATATAGAGAGTGATAGGGGATAAAGACAGGAAGAGGGTTATAGATGGGGTAGGGATATAGAGAGTAAGAGGGGTATATAGACAGGGAGATGGTATATAAAAAAGGGGAGGGGATATAGACAGGGAGAGGGGATATAGACAGAGAGAGGGATATAGATGAAGTAGTGATATAAAGAGTGAGAGGGGATAAAAACAGGGAGAGGGGATATAGACAGGAGGAAGGATATAGATGGGGAGAGGGGATATAGAGAGTGAGAGGGGGATATAGACAGGGAGGTGGTTTATAGAAAAGGGGACGGGATATAGACAGGGAGAGGGGATATAGACAGGGAGAGGGGATATAGACAGGGAGAGAGGTTATAGACAGGGAAAGAGATATAGACAGGGATATGGATATAGATAGGGGGAGGGATATAGACAGGGGGAAGTATATAGATATGGAGAGGGGATATAAAGAGTCAGAGGGTGATATAGACATGAAGATGGTATATAGACATGGTAAGGGATTTAGACAGAGATAGGGGATATAGACAGAGAGAGGGGGAAATAGACAGGGGGGATATAGACAGAAAGAGGGGATATAGATAGAAAGAGAAGGGGGCAATAGACACGGGGGAATATAGACAGAGAGAGGGGATATAGACACAGAGAGAGAGGCACTAGACAGGAGGGATATAGACAGGGAGAGGGGATATAGACAGTGAGAGGTAAATGGACAGGGATATAGATAGGGAGAGGGGATATAGAGAGGAAGAGGGGATATAGACAGGGAGATGGGGAAATAGACAGGGAGAGTGGATATAGACATAAAGAGAGGGGATATAGACAGTGAGAGAGGATATAGACAGTGAGAGGGATATATATAGGGGGGGATATAGACAGGGGGAGGGGATATAGACAGGAATAGGGGATATAGACAGGGAGAGGGGATATAGATGGGGTATGGATATAGAGAGTGAAAGGGGATATAGACAGGCATATAGATAGTGGGAGGGACATAGACAGGGAGAGGGGATATAGACAGGGAGAGGATATAGATGGGGTATGGATATAGAGAGTGAAAGGGGATATAGACAGGCATATAGATAGGGGGAGGGACATAGACAGGGAGAGGGGATATAGACAGGAATAGGGGATATAGACAGGGAGATGGATATAGATGGGGTACGGATATAGAGAGTGAAAGGGGATATAGACAGGCATAAAGATAGGGGGAGGGACATAGACAGGGAGAGGGGATATTGACAGGGAGATGGATTTAGTCAGGAGAGTGATGTAACATTTTCAAGTGTCAGATTAATTGATGAGTAAACAAATATACCTGTAGTCCTAGTAACCATATCATCATAGACTCATGGTTTTCTGCTGTGAATTGATATTCCTTGTTGTCAGACCTGTAAACACATACACGGTACAATTGTAAGTACCTACTAAGTCATTTATGCTAGTGAAAAATCAGTACATGTTATGATGTTTTATGAAAGATTGAAAACTCTTACCTTGAATATACAGTATGACTTTTGACTTTCAACTGATCTCAAGGTGGTGGGGATGCTTGTGTTTTATAAAATTTGGTTCAAAATTTAGGTTAGGAATGCGTGGACAATTCAATCTCTTCATCACCATGTTAAGATTCTGTAGTACCGACCTTGACCTTGAACATATGACAATGACCTTCAATGTCCGAAATCATTGTGTAAAGTTTAAAAAAATTAAGGGATGATATCCATACCCCATCTATATCCCCTCATCACAGAATGATTCTGTAACTGTGACCTTGACCTCAAACATATACCTTAACCTTCAACTGCCCTTGGGAGATCAATGGCAGGAATACTTGTTTGAAGTTTCATGAAATGCAATAGAAAATTTGGATAGGACAAGACAAGACAAGACAAATGTTGACAGACAGACAGATGGACAGACTGACAGACAGGATGAAGCTAATGTATGTGCTACTTAGGGCGAAGACACAATGATAAAAATAAAAGAGCATTTGATACCTCCTTGAAGCTGCCATCATTTTAAAAAAAACAATGAGAAGGCCACTGTATATGTATCAGTGATATCTCCATTTATACACTTGGCAGCTGACACATTGTTTATGGACATATGAACTTCAACATCTATTAAATATACAGAGATTGACATTAAAATGTAATATCTATCTATGATAATAAAATCTTATCTGTAATAAAATGGGTATCTGGGCTTATTTACTATAATGTATTGATTTCATGGTTATAGTTCCTTATGAGGTAATTTTTTATTTATCTGAGCATCATAGTTTAATTCTCTATGGCAGTGATATAATAATCAAAAGTCATGAACACATTTATTTTTAGTCTAATGCAACCTGGTATTTTTAGACAGTACATCAATTAATTTATTGATGACAGAAAGCATCAGCCTCTTTGGTACATGTATTAGACTATTTATACTCTGAATCAGTTGGTTTTATATACATATCATTTGAAGGTTACACCAGTTGGGTTTTTCATACAGATATACACAGTGTCTTGTGGGATGTACATCCCTCTGTGCTTTTTCAGTCAATCAAAACTGAAAATAAAATGTCAAAACTACAAAAGCTATGATAGAGTGATGGGGCTGTTACTAGCTATGATAGAGTGATTAGACTGTTACTAGCTATGATAAAGTGATGAGACTGTTACTAGCTATGATAGAGCGATGAGACTGTTACTAGCTATGATAGAGTGATGAGACTGTTGCTAGCTATGATAGAGTGATGAGACTGTTACTAGCAATGATAAAGTGATGAGAATATTACAAGCTATGATAAAGTGATGGGGCTGTTACTAGCTATGATAGAGTGATTAGACTGTTACTACCTATGATAGAGTGATGGGGCTGTTACTAACCATGATAGAGTGATGGGGCTTTACTAACCATGATAGAGTGATGGGGCTGTTACTAGCTATGATAGATTGATGAGACTGTTACTAGCTATGACAGAGTGATGGGGCTGTTACTAGCTATGATAGAGGGATGAGACTGTTACTAGCTATGATAGAATGATGAGACTGTTGCTAGCTATGATAGAGTGATGAGACTGTTACTAGCTATGACAGAGTGATGGGGCTGTTACTAGCTATGGTGGTGTGATAAGACTGTTACTAGCTATGACAGAGTGATGGGGCTGTTACTAGCTATGGTGGTGTGATAAGACTGTTACTAGCTATGACAGAGTGATGGGGCTGTTACTAGCTATGATAGAGTGATTAGACTGTTACTAGCTATGATAAAGTGATGAGACTGTTACTAGCTATGATAGAGAGATGAGACTATTACAAGCTATGATAAAGTGATGGGGCTGTTACTAGCTATGATAGAGGGATGAGACTGTTACTAGCTATGATAGAATGATGAGACTGTTACTAGCTATGATAGAGTGATGAGACTATTACAATCTATGATAAAGTGATGGGGCTGTTACTAGCTATGATAGAGCGATGAGACTGTTACTAGCTATGATAGAGTGATGGGGCTGTTACTAGCTATGACAGAGTGATGGGGCTGTTACTAGCTATGATATAGTGATGGGGCTGTTACTAGCTATGATAGAGCGATGAGACTGTTACTAGCTATGATAGAATGATGAGACTGTTACTAGCTATGATAGAGTGATGAGACTGTTACTAGCTCTGATAGAGTGATGGGGCTGTTACTAGCTATGATGGGGTGATGAGACTGTTACTAGCTATGACAGAGTGATGGGGCTGTTACTAGCTATGGTGGTGTGATAAGACTGTTACTAGCTATGACAGAGTGATGGGGCTGTTACTAGCTATGATAGAGGGATGAGACTGTTACTAGCTATGATAGAATGATGAGACTGTTACTAGCTATGATATAGTGATGAGACTACAACACGTTACCTACAGGATATTGAACTGGTTATGGTTGTCAAGGTCAAGGGAAATGGCTGCTCCCTGGATATCGAGGCTCCCCACGGGTGTTTTGTTGTTGCGTACATCGTCCTCTGTCTTAAAGTACAGCAGCTGGCATTGACTCTCCTCTAGCACACACCAAAGTTTTCTCTTACTTCTCAGTAGGCTGATACCTACAACAGGGTGCAGAGGTCAGACACAGGAGGGCATTAAGGTTATAACTAAACTCACAGTTACCTAAAATAGGGGTCAAACAGAGGAGGGCAAATATTATAAACTTACTGTTTCTTCATGCACCTCAGCAAGCTAAATATTTACCTACAACAGGGTTCAGAGGTCAGACACAGGAGGGCATTAAGGTCATAACTAAAGTCACGGTTACCTAAAATAGGGGTCAAACAGAGGAGGGCAAATATTATAAATGTACTGTTTCTTCATGCACCTCAGCAAGCTAAATATTTACCAACAACAGGGTTCAGAGGTCAGACACAGGAGGGCATTAAGGTCATAACTAAAGTCACAGTTACCTAAAATAGGGGTCAAACAGAGGAGGGCAAATATTATAAATGTACTGTTTCTTCATGCTCCTCAGCAAGCTGATACATTTACACACAACAGGGGTTAGGGGTCAATCACAGGAGTGCAAAGGTCAAAACAATAAGCACAAATATTTTTGCTTGAAACAAACTGATATACAGAGTCAGGGGTCACTGAAGGAGACAGAGGTCAAAACACAACCAACAGTTTCTGCTTATTCCTCAACAGGCTGATACCTAGATTAGAGGTCAACAGGACGGAAATGGTCTAAACACAACCCAGTTTCTTCATGCTTCTTAGGTAGGTTAAAGTTCAGTCCCAAGTGAACAACTGCCAAACACATACTAAAGTTTCTTTTTATTCCTCAGCAAGATGACACAGGGGCCATGGGTCATTCACAGAAGGGTAAAGTTCAAACAAACACCACTACATTTTTTATTATTCCTCAGTAAATTCACACAAACAACATTAGTCTTTGGTCAGTTAAAGGAGATCAAAGGTCAAAACACTCTTCATAGTTTCTTCTTACATACTCCTCAGCAGTCTGATACCGACAACAAGGATCAGGGGTCACTTTTCTGGAGGGCAAAGGTCAAAACACTCTTCATAGTTTCTTCTTACGTACTCCTCAGCAGTTTCATACCGACAACAAGGATCAGGGGTCACTTTTCTGGAGGGCAAAGGTCAAACCACACTTTATAGTTTCTTCTTACGTACTCCTCAGCATTCTTATACCGACAACAAGGATCAAAGGTAATTTTTCTGGAGGGCAAAGGTCAAAACACTCTTCATAGTTTCTTCTTACGTACTCCTCAGCAGTCTGATACAGACAACAAGGATCAGGGGTCAATTTTCTGGAGGGCAAAGGTCAAAACACTCTTCATAAATTCTTCTTACGTACTCCTCAGCAGTCTGATACAGACAACAAGGATCAGGGGTCAATTTTCTGGAGGGCAAAGGTCAAAACACTCTTAATAGTTTCTTCTTACATACTCCTCAGCAGTGTGATACCGACAACAAGGATCAGGGGTCACTTTTCTGGAGGGCAAAGGTCAAAACCCTCTTCATAGTTTCTTCTTACATACTCCTCAGCAGTCTGATACAGACAACAAGGATCAAGGGTCACTTTTCTTGAGGGCAAAGGTCAAAACACTCTTCATAGTTTGATACCGAGAACAAGGATCAGGGAACACTTTTTTTGAGGGCAAAGGTCAAAACACTCCTCATAGTTTCTTCTTACGTACTCCTCAGCAGTGTGATACCGACAACAAGGATCAGGGGTCACTTTTCTGGAGGGCAAAGGTCAGAACACTCTTCATAGTTTCTTCTTACATACTCCTCAGCAGTCTGATACAGACAACAAGGATCAAGGGTCACTTTTTTTGAGGGCAAAGGTCAAAACACTCTTCATAGTTTCTTCTTACATACTCCTCAGCAGTCTGATACCGACAACAAGGATCAGGGATCACTTGTTTTGAGGGCAAAGGTCAAAACACTCTTCATAGTTTGATACCGACAACAAGGATCAGGGAACACTTTTTTTGAGGGCAAAGGTCAAAACACTCTTCATAGATTGATACCGACAACAAGGATCAGGGATCACTTGTTTTGAGGGCAAAGGTCAAAACACTCTTCATAGTTTGATACCGAGAACAAGGATCAGGGAACACTTTTTTTGAGGGCAAAGGTCAAAACACTCTTCATAGATTGATACCGACAACAAGGATCAGGGATCACTTGTTTTGAGGGCAAAGGTCAAAACACTCTTCATAGTTTGATACCGACAGCAAGGATCAGGGATCACTTTTTTTGAGGGCAAAGGGCAAAACACTCTTCATAGTTTGATACCGACAGCAAGGATCAGGGATCACTTTTTTTGAGGGCAAAGGTCAAAACACTCTTCATAGTTTGATACCGACAACAAGGATCAGGGATCACTTTTTTTGAGGGCAAAGGTCAAAACACTCTTCATAGTTTCTTCTTACGTACTCCTCAGCAGTGTGATACCGCCAACAAGGATCAGGGGTCATATTTCAGGAGGGCAAAGGTCAAAACACAATCGAAACACAACCCAAAATTTATTCTTACTTCTCAGTAAGCTATAACTGGGGTAAATCACAGGACAAGTGCTGTGTCATAGTGTAACAAGGTCATCGCCTAGCGGTACATAATACATTTGTACACCCACCACAATTTGTTGAATGAGCAGTTGTTTATATCCTTGAAAAATATAAAATATTTGTTAGTAATTAATGTTAAAGGAGAAATAATTCAACATACCTGGTAGATCAACGAGTGCAATAAAACATCCTGGAATGCATGCTGTACTGCATTAATGAAACCAAGGGGAATGAGGTTTGTAATTATGGTCAGATAAATGTGACTACACTCATTCCAATGATTCAGGGGGTATAACTCCGCAAATTACAGTGAGATAATGGGGGTTGTAATTACAGTGAGATAATGGGGGTTGTCTAACTGACCTCTCATGCTGATTAACCTTCATATGAGGTTTGAAGTTAATCCATTGAAGCTTACTTTAGATATTGAGCGGACACCATTTTGAGTATTGAATAAAAGGGCACAACTCCATAAATAACAGTGAGATAATAGTAGTCATCAACAACATTTGAGCTCTCATGGTAATAAATCTTCCTATAAAGTTTGAAGCTAATCCATTGAAAATAACAGATGAAATTGAACAAACACCATTTCAGCAATTGAAATATTGAATAAAGGGGCATAACTCCGTAAATGGCAATCAAACAATGGTGGTTATCCGACTTGTTCAAAATTTTATGGTAATTAAACCTCACATGAAGTTTGAAGTTAATCTGTTGAAAATCACTCGTGGTATAGAGCGGACACTGTTTCAGCAATTAATTAAAGAGGTATAACTCCCTAAATTACTGTCGGATAACGGTGGTTAGGTACCAGTCTATAGCAAGCTATTGAGCTACCCACTTAACAATGCTGTTTAAAGATGATACCACTCTAGGGAGCTAAGCTACATATTCAGAACTACTCTGTATACGGATGGTACCACTCTAGATAGCTAAGCTCCACATTCAGAACTGCTCTGTATACGGATGGTACCACTCTAGATAGCTAAGCTTCACATTCAGAACTACTCTGTATACAGATGGTATCACTCTAAGTAGCTAAGCTACACATTCCGTACTACTCTGTATAAGGATGGGACCATTCTAAAGAGCTAAGCTACATATTCAGAACTACTCTGTATACGGATGGTACCACTCTAGATAGCTAAGCTACACATTCAGAACTACTCTGTATACAGATGGTATCACTCTAGGTAGCTAAGCTACACATTCAGAACTACTCTGTATAAGGATGGTACCATTCTAAAGAGCTAAGCTACACATTCAGAACTACTCTGTATAAGGGTGGTACCACTCTAGGTAGCTAAGCTACACATTCAGAACTACTCTGTATAAGGATGGTACCACTTTAGGTAGCTAAGCTACACATTCAGAACTACTCTGTATAAGGATGGTACCACTCTAGGTAGCTAGGCTACACATTCAGAACTACTCTGTATAAGGATGGTACCACTCTAGGTAGCTAAGCTACACATTCAGAACTACTCTGTATAAGGATGGTACCACTCTAGGTAGCTAAGCTACACATTCAGAACTACTCTGTATAAGGATGGTACCACTCTAGGTAGCTAAGCTACACATTCAGAACTACTCTGTATAAGGATGGTACCACTCTAGGTAGCTAAGCTACACATTCAGAACTACTCTGTATAAGGATGGTACCACTCTAGGTAGCTAAGCTACACATTCAGAACTACTCTGTATAAGGATGGTACCACTCTAGGTAGCTAAGCTACACATTCAGAACTACTCTGTATAAGGATGGTACCACTCTAGGTAGCTAAGCTACACATTCAGAACTACTCTGTATAAGGATGGTACCACTCTAGGTAGCTAAGCTACACATTCAGAACTACTCTGTATAAGGATGGTACCACTCTAGGTAGCTAAGCTACACATTCAGAACTACTCTGTATAAGGATGGTACCACTCTAGGTAGCTAAGCTACACATTCAGAACTACTCTGTATAAGGATGGTACCACTCTAGGTAGCTAAGCTACACATTCAGAACTACTCTGTATAAGGATGGTACCACTCTAGGTAGCTAGGCTACACATTCAGAACTACTCTATATAAGGATGGTACCACTTTAGGTAGCTAAGCTACACATTTAGAACTACTCTGTATAAGGATGGTACCACTCTAGGTAGCTAAGCTACACATTCGGAACTACTCTGAATACGGATGGTACCAGTCTATAGCGAGCTATTGAGCTACCCACTTAACAATGCTGTTTAAAGATGGTACCACTCTAGGAAGCTAAGCTACACATTCAGAACTACTCTGTATAAGGATGGTACCACTCTAGGTAGCTAAGCTACACATTCAGAACTACTCTGTATAAGGATGGTACCACTCTAGGTAGCTAAGCTACACATTCAGAACTACTCTGTATAAGGATGGTACCACTCTAGGTAGCTAAGCTACACATTCAGAACTACTCTGTATAAGGATGGTACCACTCTAGGTAGCTAAGCTACACATTCAGAACTACTCTGTATAAGGATGGTACCACTCTAGGTAGCTAAGCTACACATTCAGAACTACTCTGTATAAGGATGGTACCACTCTAGGTAGCTAAGCTACACATTCAGAACTACTCTGTATAAGGATGGTACCACTCTAGGTAGCTAAGCTAAACATTCAGAACTACTCTGTATAAGGATGGTACCACTCTAGGTAGCTAAGCTACACATTCAGAACTACTCTGTATACGGATGGTACCGCTCTAGGTAGCTAGGCTACACAGTCAGAACTACTCTGTATACGGATGGTACCAGTCTATAGCGAGCTATTGAGCTACCCACTTAACAATGCTGTTTAAAGATGGTACCACTCTAGGAAGCTAAGCTACACATTCAGAACTACTCTGTATAAGGATGGTACCATGCTAGGGAGCTAAGCTACACATTCAGAACTACTCTGTATAAGGATGGTACCACTTTAGGTAGCTAAGCTACACATTCAGAACTACTCTGTATAAGGATGGTACCAGTCTATAGAGAGCTATTGAGCTACCCACTTAACAATGCTGTTTAAAGATGATACCAGTAACACTCTAGGGAGCCAAGGAGCTACATATTAAGAACTTTATGCTAAAGGATGGTACTACCCCTTAGAGCTGAACTTAACAATCAGATCTATGTTTTATAAGGGTGGTACTACTCCTTAGAGCTGAACTAAACAATCAGATCTATGTTATTTAAGGATGGTACTTACCTCCCCCTTCTTTAAAATACAGGTAACCGGAGAGGCGGTGCCAGCCTGACATAATGGTTATTGTCTAAAATGTCCACCAGGTGGAGTAGTACTGGTGACTGCTCCTCCCCATCAGTGTGTGATATCTCTTTAGACTGGTTACTATCTGTAGATAACACACAGGCTCTGGTTTATGGACTCGTTATATCTTCACACAGATGTCTGGTTCCCATATATCACACGGAATCCCTGATATCACACTTATCTTTGTATGGTTGTCTGTTTAACCAGAGTTATCTCCCTTGTAAGTACAGCAGACAGAGATTATAATTCCTGGTGGAAAGAGTTGAGTTAGTTACTTTATATCCAGATGCTGAGAATGTGACACAGGTAAGATACAGGTTAATCACAGGTAAGTCACAGGTAAGGCGAGGCACATGTACACGTATAATTGTTGTAGACAGTCAGTGTAACCAGTGTTACATTCTCAGCACATCCCTGCCACCTGAAAATAATATCAATACTAAGCTGTGTCAGAGAAAAAAACGTTATACAGGAACTCTGAACTCAAACACTGTAAAAGGAAATCAATCAAATGACCTCTACATACAAAGTCAAAACAAATGACCTTTGACATTAACATTTAGGGTCAAAATGTTGAAACAAATGACATCTATCTATGTACAAATCAAAATATCGAAACAATAAATCTCTAATTTCTAATTCATTAAAAATTGACCTCTAACTACTTACAAGGTCAAAAGTCGAAACAAATGACCTGCAACTACAAACAAGGTCAAAATGTCAGGACAAATAAGTTCTTACTACATGTAAATACAAAGTAATGAAGTCAAAACAAATAACCTTTTACTACAAACAATAAGGAGTAAAAGTCAAAATAGACTACCTTTAACTACATACAAGGTCAAAATATCAAAACAATTGACCTCTTAATACTGACTAGGTCAAAAGTCAAAACAGATGTCCTATTATAGTATAACTATATAAAATGTCATGATAAATTACCTGTTACTAAATACAAGTCAAACGTTAAAACATTTTAATGACCTCTTAGTACATACAATGTCAAAATATCCAACAAAGTATCACTAACTTTATATATACATACCAGGTTAAAGTTTCAATGACTTCTAACTATATACAATGTCAAAATGTACACCAAATGACTGTGCCTGTCTTTATCTGTACCCGAGGAGTTTGTGCCTGTCTTTATCTGTACCCGAGGAGTTTGTGCCTGTCTTTATCTGTACCCGTGTTTGACGTGGTAAAATGTTGTCTTATGATCCTCCCCTTCTTCATATGACCTTATACTGTCGCAAGGATGTTAATTACCAAACAAACGAGCAGAATTACGAACCTCAGTGAAGTTTGACACTGCCTTATATCAGTGTTAGGGTTTAGTGTAGTAGTAATACATGTATGTTAGTTGTCTTTGTCTGGTGATCCTCAATATTTTAATGACCTGAAATGACCCCAGACAGCTATTTCTAGAGAAGGATAGTTGAAGACGTTTAGCAAATATTGATACAAGTAATTCACTGAATAGAGTCTTTACACTATGGCACACTTCCATACAAATTCCAGGCCTACAGCCTTGTGATATCACATCTGATACAAATGGAATGAAAGAAAAATAGAAACGTTCTTAATTTATGTCACACATTTATCAATTGGATACACATTTAACTCTGATGTACAGCTTTCATTTCATTTCTACCTCTCACAACCAAACAACCAGCCTGTTACTGTAACTATTCCTGTAGAGATTATAGTAAAACAGCCAGCCTGTTACTGTAACTACTCCTGTAGATATTATAGTAACACTACCACACAACCAGCCTGTTACTGTAACTACTCCTATAGAGATTATAGTAACACAACCAAACAACCAGCCTGTTACTGTAACTACTCCTATAGAGATTATTGTAAAACAGCCAGCCTGTTACTGTAACTACTCCTATAGAGATTATAGTAACACAACCAGACAACCAGCCTGTTACTGTAACTACTCCTATAGAGATTATAGTAAAACAGCCAGCCTGTTACTGTAACTACTCCTGTAGAGATTATAGTAAGCAACACTACCACACAACTGGCCTGTTACTGTAAAGATTATAGTAAAACAGCCAAACAACCGGCCTGTTACTGTAACTACTCCTGTAGAGATTATAGCAACACTACCACACAACTGGCCTGTTACTGTAACTACTCCTATAGAGATTATAGTAACACAATCAGACAACCAGCCTGTTACTGTAACTACTCCTCTAGATATTATAGCAACACAACCAAACAACCAGCCTGTTACTGTAACTCCTCCTGTAGAGGTTATAGTAACACTACAACACAACCAGCCTGTTACTGTAACTACTCCGAGATTATAGAAACACTACCACACAACCAGCCTGTTACTGTAACTGCTCCTATAGAGATTATAGTAAAACAGCCAGCCTGTTACTGTAACTACTCCTATAGAGATCATAGTAACACAATCTACTCCTATAGAGATTATAGTAACACAACCAAACAACCGGCCTGTTACTGTAACTCCTCCTATAGAGATTATAGTTACACTACCACACAACAAGCCTGTTACTGTAACTACTCCTGTGGAGATTATAGTAACACAACCAAACAACCAGCCTGTTATTGTAACTACTCCTGTAGAGATTATAGTTACACAACCAAACAACCAGCCTGTTACTGTAACTACTCCGAGATTATAGAAACACTACCACACAACCAGCCTGTTACTGTAACTGCTCCTATAGAGATTATAGTAAAACAGCCAGCCTGTTACTGTAACTACTCCTATAGAGATTTTAGTAACACAACCAGACAACCAGCCTGTTACTGTTACTACTCCTATAGAGATTATAGCCTGTTACTGTAACTACTCCTATAGAGATTTTAGTATCACTACCACACAACCAGCCTGTTACTGTAACTACTCCTGCAGAGATTATAGTAACACACCCAGCCTGTTACTGTAACTACTCTTCTAGATATTATAGCAACACAACCAAACAACCAGCCTGTTACTGTAACTACTCCGAGATTATAGAAACACTACCACACAACCAGCCTGTTACTGTAACTACTCCGAGATTATAGAAACACTACCACACAACCAGCCTGTTACTGTAACTACTCCTCTAGATATTATAGCAACACAACCAAACAACCAGCCTGTTACTGTAACTACTCCTCTAGATATTATAGCAACACAACCAAACAACCAGCCTGTTACTGTAACTCCTCCTGTAGAGGTTATAGTAACACTACAACACAACCAGCCTGTTACTGTAACTACTCCGAGATTATAGAAACACTACCACACAACCAGCCTGTTACTGTAACTGCTCCTATAGAGATTATAGTAAAACAGCCAGCCTGTTACTGTAACTACTCCTATAGAGATTTTAGTATCACTACCACACAACCAGCCTGTTACTGTAACTGCTCCTATAGAGATTATAGTAAAACAGCCAGCCTGTTACTGTAACTACTCCTGTAGAGGTTATAGTAACACTACAACACACCCAGCCTGTTACTGTAACTACTCCTATAGAGATTTTAGTAACACTACCACACAACCAGCCTGTTACTGTAACTACTCCTGCAGAGATTATAGTAACACAACCAGCCTGTTACTGTAACTACTTCTGTAGAGATTATAGTAACACAACCAGACTATTACTGTAACTACTCCTGTAGAGATTACAGTAACACAACCAAACAACCAGCCTGTTACTGTAACTACTCCTATAGAGATTATAGTTACACTACCACACAACAAGCCTGTTACTGTAACTACTCCTGTGGAGATTATAGTAACACAACCAAACAACCAGCCTGTTATTGTAACTACTCCTATAGAGATTATAGTAACACAACCAGCCTGTTACTGTAACTACTCCTGTAGAGATTGTAGTAACACAACCAGCCTGTTACTGTAACTACTCCTATAGAGATCATAGTAACACAACCAGACTGTTACTGTAACTACTCCTGTAGAGATTATAGTAACACTACCACACAACCAGCCTGTTACTGTAACTACTCCTCTAGATATTATAGCAACACAACCAAACAACCAGCCTGTTACTGTAACTACTCCTGTAGAGATTGTAGTAACACAACCAGCCTGTTACTGTAACTACTCCTCGAGATATTATAGCAACACAACCAAACAACCAGCCTGTTACTGTAACTACTCCTCGAGATATTATAGCAACACAACCAAACAACCAGCCTGTTACAGTAACTACTCCTGTAGAGATTATAGTAACACTCCCACACAACCAGCCTGTTACTGTAACTACTAGTTACACAACCAAACAACCGGCCTGTTACTGTAACTACTCCTGTAGAGATTATAGTAACACTACCACACAACCAGCCTGTTACTGTAACTACTCCTATAGAGATTTTAGTAACACTACCACACAACCAGCCTGTTACTGTAACTACTCCTGAAGAGATTATAGTTACACAACCAAACAACCAGCCTGTTACTGTAACTCCTCCTGTAGAGATTATAGTAACACAACCAGACTGTTATTGTAACTACTCCTATAGACATCATAGTAACACAACCAGACAACTGGCCTGTTACTGTAACTACTCCTGTAGAGATTATAGTAAGTTATTGTAACTACTCCTATAGAGATTATAGTAACACAACCAAACAATCGGCCTGTTACTGTAACTACTCCTGTAGAGATTATAGTAACACAACCAGCCTGTTACTGTAACTACTCCTGTAGGGATTATAGTTACACAACCAAACAACCGGCCTGTTACTGTAACTACTCCTAAAGAGAGTATAGTAACACTACCACACAACCAGCCTGTTACTGTAACTACTCCTATAGAGATCATAGTAACACAACCAGACAACTGGCCTGTTACTGTAACTACTCCTGTAGAGATTATAGTAACACAACCTGCCTGTTACTGTAACTACTCCTATAGAGATTATAGTAACACTACCACACAACCAGCCTGTTACTGTAACTACTCATGTAGAGATTATAATAACACAACCAAACAACCAGTCTGTTACTGTAACTACTCCTATAGAGATTATAGTAACACAACCGGCCTGTTACTGTAACTACTCCTGTAGCGATTATAGTAACACTACCACACAAACAGCCTGTTACTGTAACTACTACTATAGAGATTATAGTAACACACCCAGCCTGTTACTGTACTACTCATGTAGAGATTATAGTAACACAACAACACAACCAGCCTGTTACTGTACTACTCATGTAGAGATTATAGTAACACAACAACACAACCAGCCTGTTACTGTACTACTCATGTAGAGATTATAATAACACAACCAAACAACCAGTCTGTTACTGTAACTACTACTATAGAGATTATAGTAACTCAACCAGACTGTTACTGTAACTACTCCTATAGATATTATAGTAACACTACCACACACCCAGCCTGTTACTGTACTACTCATGTAGAGATTATAGTAACACAACCGGCCTGTTACGGTGACTACTCCTGTAGAGATTACAGTAACACAACCAAACAACCAGCCTGTTACTGTACTACTCATGTAGAGATTATAGTAACACAACCACTCTGTTACTGTAACTACTCCTGTAGAGATTATAGTTACACAACCAAACAACCAGCCTGTTACTGTACTACTCATGTAGAGATTATAGTAACACACCCAGCCTGTTACTGTACTACTCATGTAGAGATTATAGTAACACTACCACACAAACAGCCTGTTACTGTAACTAATCCTATAGAGATTATAGTATCACTACCACACAACCAGCCTGTTACTGTAACTACTCCTGTAGAGATTATAGTAACACTACTACACAACCAGTCTGTTACTGTAACTACTCCTGTAGAGATTATAGTAACACTACCACACAAACAGCCTGTTACTGTAACTACTCCTGTAGAGATTATAGTACACTACCACACAACCAGCCTGTTACTGTAACTACTCCTATAGAGATTACAGTAACACAACCAAACAACCGGCCTGTTACTGTAACTACTCCTGTAGAGATTACAGTAACACAACCAAACAACCGGCCTGTTACTGTAACTACTCCTGTAGAGATTATAGTAACACTACCACACAACCAGCCTGTTACTGTTACTATTGTATAAGTAACAGTAACAAATCATTTTTCTTCTCCTTAGTTACAGAATTCTTCTTAGTTACTGATGTAGCAAGTGATTACAGAAGTAAAAT